AACATTAAGAAGATACCAGCAGGAGTTCTAAGCTACACATGACACTCTTATGAAACCAAACCTACAAGTTATAGGCATATAAAAAGAAAAATCTTGTTTTAAATGAACAGAAAATAATTTCAGGAGGCTGGAGCGATGGTTCAGTGGTTAAGAGCACTGTCTATTCTTCTAGAGGTCTTGAGTTCAATTCCCAATAACTACATGGTGACTCACAACCATCTGTAATGGGATATAATGCCCTCTTCTGGATTGCAGACATAATGCACAGAATACTATATACTATCACAGAATACTATACATAATAAATAAATCTTTTTTTTTGTTTTGTTTTTTCGAGACAGGGTTTCTCTGTGGCTTTGGAGCCTCTCCTGGAACTAGCTCTGTAGACCAGGCTGGTCTCGAACTCACAGAGATCCGCCTACCTCTGCCTCCCGAGTGCTGGGATTAAAGGCGTGCGCCACCACCGCCCGGCAATAAATAAATCTTTATTAAAAGAAAATATTTCTAAAATGTAATTAAAAAATAAGGAGTTTGAACACAGATTCCCTTAATGGGCAGGCAATACTTTCCCCAGAAAAAGTGAATTATTAAATGAAAATCCCAGAGCCTGGCAAAAACTACCCCTCTGTGAGTTATTGACTAGGAAGTTTGTGGAGGTTCCCCCAAACAACACAAACTATTGTCATTGCTCTTGGCTGCCCAACATAGCTACATGTTAAGACCTTATTGCTGAAGACACAACACACATTGGGTGCAGGTCATAGAGAAAGCAATCAGGAGGTGACATGGAAACTTCTTCCTTCCTGATGACTAGCTTTCACATAATCAATGAATTCACCCAGCAGCAGACTATGAATGCTAACCTGCCAGATAAGATATACTTGCTCATGCAATTATGGCATGACTGTCCCGGAGATAGCTAGTCACTTTCTGCTTGGATTTGAGGCGGGATCCAGAGGAGGAAATACATGCCCAGTATTGTAAACACAGTACAAAGCACGTGGTTCAGGAGTTTATAGGCCCTACATGGGAACCTACTACTGTTTTGTTGTTGCTGCTGCTGCTAAATGATCGTGTTTTCAAACTTTCTTCCAGATAGTGAATATCCATAGACCAGTGCTACTCTCAACCTTGGTCAGAGAAGCCTTTTTTTGCAGACTTGGAATTGGTCAAAATACTGAGAATAAGTAACTGCTGAGTGTTCAGCCCTAAATGGAACAACAGAGCAAAACCCCACACAGACCTAAGTTCAGGGAATATTGTAGAAGAGGAAACAGAAAGCATAAAATAGGTGGGGAGGAAGAGTACTGTGAAATGCCTTCGGGATATGACACGTCATTGCACTCAGGAATTCATAGCAGCTGGGGTTGCCTGCAGAAGACCTGAACAAGGTCAAACCAGCCGGCATTCCAGCATTGAAAGGAAGTTCACAAAGTGCTGTTGATGGGGAATTCATCTTGTTTCAGTGTGGTCCTAAAGGTCACCGTATGTTCATAGGTTGCCCATGATCAGGGGATGACCCCACACCCACGCGTATGTAAGTAGCACTAATTAGACTGGATGACTTATAAAAAAAAAAAAAGGAGACAATGGAAGTGGGAGGAGCAAGGATTGGAAGGGTCTGGGGTGTAAGGGGGGATTTGAGTTAGATATGATAGAGATACTTGGTAAACATGTATGAAATTGTCAAAGAATAAATTTAAAATATTCAAAAAACCCATACGGAACCCTGTTACTTTGTAAGCTACTTTAAAATAAAAAAGTTAAAAAAAATTAACAGAAATAAAGAACGATAAAATGAAATAAAAGGTATTACGTTTTTCCTGATTGGAGAGGCCCCATCTCTGTGTTTACTTTAGTACTGTCAGTCAGGATGTTGCTGCAACGCCATCACATATATCCTGTGGTCTGTAGAGCTGGTTCAAGGCAGCTTCATAGTTATCACTTGTGCTTACCTGAAGGCAGCTCGGTGATCTCCAGGTTCCTGGAACCGTCTGATTATCCATGCAATTGGTACATGATCATGTCGTGAATGAAGAGTCTGTCCTAAACTACAGTGCCCACCATCCTCCTCGACTCTTGCACACTGTATCCCTACCGTCAGTTCCCCTGTGCCCAAATCCCAGCAGCCTATCTCTGAGTACAATGCTTTCTTCTCCTGGGCTGTTTCTTGGAGGCTCTGTTCCTTTTTAAACTTAATTAATTAATATAGATAGATAGATAGATAGATAGATAGATAGATAGACAGAGTTTGTGTTTTTGTGTGCACACATGCACGTATTTGATGTTGGAGAGGATGCATGTGCCATGGTGCACACATGGACTTTAGAGAACAACTTTATTGAGTAAGGTTCCTTCTTCCACCTTCACATGGGTACCAGAGATTGAACTCACCTGCCATCTCACTGGTCCTTTCTACTGTCCTTCTTACCTATGAGCCTGAGGACTTTATATAGGACATACCCAGTATAGAGTAATTACGCCAACAATCCCTGCAGCTGGAAAGCAGTCAAGGTGGTCTAAGAATGAACTGAGGGATGCCAGTGTATTAGAGCTTCATAAAGTGCTAGAGAGATTTAGGGCGTTGCTATTCCTGATATTCTTGATGACAACACCTTGGGAATCACCATCTCTCTGTTCCCTGGATGCCATGGAGTCCACGTTCTCCCCCATGAGTCTCATCTCATCACAGGGGCCAGACTTGGCTACTGCCATTCATCATGTGACCCTCTCCAGATTCTAACTGTCCTGTTTGCATTGCTCCTGGTGATGTTTCCCAACTGGATGGAGCTGCCAAGTGTGGAAATGACCCCTGCATAGATAGGCAGACAGGAAGATCTGCAAAAGGAAGGGGCTGGCACATCCCTTTGGTTCTAACATTTTATAAATGTATGTCTTCCCTTACAGCTAACCTTCATGATTCTCATTTCCATCAGAGACTAGAGTGATGGTTTACATCCTGTGGGTCTCGAACCCCTTGAGAGTCACATATCCCGGATATCAGGTATTTACACTGTGATTCATAACAATAGCAAGATTACAGTTATGAAGTAGCAATGAAATAATTTTGTGGTTGGGATCACAACATGAAGAACTGTGTTAAAGGGTCGCAGCATTTGGAAGGTTGAGAACTACTCTCCTAGTGCATAAGGCCAGGCTGACATGGGTCCCTTGTACATGTGTTTGTTCCCAAGTAGTGGGTTTTTCCTGCTGACATGGTGTCAGAAAACGGTCCTAGAATAAATGAATGTTTGTGAGAAAACTCCCAAGACAAATTTTGTAACCTCAGTTTCTTCAAAACACAGAATTGCTCTTGGAATGTGCTTCGGTGCCCCTCCCGGGCGTAGAGGGAGGAGGGAGTTTGCTTCAGATTACAGGGAGGGAGTTTGTTTATATGCCACGCGTGGCTTGTCCTTGTGAGGCTACACTTCACTCACGTGACTGTTCTCAGAGTACACACTGTCTGAGGCTTTGGATAAAGCTGGTTGTTACTTGAGACTCTAGTCCGCCTCATTTTGAGGCCTCATTCTCCCAGGTTCCACCGACTTTAGAGCAATAAACAAAGAGTTTTTGCAGTTTGGATATTCCTGTATAGTTTGTATTCTCATCCCCATGCACAGCAACTGGGCTATTTTCTGCAAGAAATTAGTTAGGATATCCACAGTGTAGTGAAAAGAAACCTAGCCCGTCCTGTGCTGAGTAATTTATAAGGAATGGACACTTAGTTCTGGAACCTGGGAAATTTAAGCTTACGGTGCCGCTATCTGGTGAGTCATCTCAAGGGGGAAAACAAAGTCTTTTATTTCGTCAGGAATCCTGGGATTACAGAGGACGACACTAGGGGGTTGATTACATTGGGGTTTTCCACCTAAGTTTTAGAGGAGATACTAACCAAGAACCTTACACGACAAATACATATTCCAAGACACCACAGAGATTCTGGCCCTGTGGGTCTGTGTAAGGACTGGAAAAGTACTTCTTACAAACCCCTCGAGTGCTTCTGGTGCAACCCCAGGAGCCTTTGAGAACTCTGGCTCCAGAAAAATGAGCACGCTTCGCCAAACCTAGACACATTTCTGGTAGAAACAATGACATTCCTTTCACCGAGTGGCAAAGGTTCATTTATTTCATGTGCACTGGTATTTTGCTTGTATATACTCTCTGAGCCATCTCTCTAGCCGTGACTGCCTGTGGGTGTGTGTGTGTGTGTGAGTCTGCCCGAGTGCATGTATGTACACCACATACATATAGAAACTGCTGGGACCCGAAGGGGGCGTTAGAGCCCCTAAACTGCTGTTAGCAGTTGTGAGCCGCCAGATGAGCCATGGTCCTCCCCGCGAGGGCAGCCAATGCTATTAACTGCAGAACCATCGCTCTAGCTTCAGACGCCGCATTTGTGAACGCAGTTTGCCCTGTGGCCACTCAGGATCGGGGATGAGGGCAGGACTCCGCCGGGTGCCCCCTTCCGGGGAAAGGCCGAGAGAGAGCGTCCCGGCCGACCTTTGGGGTGACGGTGGCAGCAAACTTGCTTAAAGCGGCTCCTAGGGGGCTGGAGAGATGGCTCAGTGGTTAAGAGCATTCCCTGCTCCTCCAAAGGTCCTGAGTTCAATTCCCAGCAACCACATGGTGGCTCACAAACATCTGTAAAGAGGTCTGGCGCCCTCTTCTGGCCTTCAGGCATACACACAGAATATTGTATACATAATTAATAAATAAATAAATATTTTTTTTAAAAAGCGGCTCCTAGGGCGGGCGGACCTCAGCTAGGCCGGGGCCTTCCCGGAGGAGCATGCCGGGTCCGCTTCATCCCCGCTGCACTCCACAGTGACCGGAACGTCCCCGAGTCTGTCCGCGGGGTCCTCACAGAATTACCTCGGCGGAACCCGGCAGCCGGAGCCGATACCTGCACCTCTCCAAACCTAGTCAAACATTCGCGCGCCACCCAGACCCGCGCGCCGGAAGTGACGTTAGCATAACGCGCACTCCCGCCGTGCCTTTCGCCGCTGTCCTGTGGCGGGAACCGCGGCTCAAGAGGGACGGTGGCGACTGTAAGTGTCAGTACTGCGTATTCTCGGCCTGGGTCCGGGCTGGCGGGGACAGGGCTGAGTCCTCCACCTCTGCGGTGGTCACTGCCTACCGCGGCTCGGGCGGCAGGAGGCAGCAGCCCCGCGAGGTGGCAGGCCTTAGACCAGACAGTGACCGCGTACTGTGTTTTGTCGAGCATTAATTAACTCGTGGGCCAAGCTCAGCTCCGTTTTTGCAGTTGTTGACTTTTTTTCTTTTCTTTTCTTTTCTTTTTTTTTTTTTGGTTTCTGAGACAGGGTTTCTCTGTAGCTTTGGAGCCTGTCCTGGAACTGGCTCTTGTAGACTAGGCTGGCCTCGAACTCCCAGAGATCCGCCTGCCTCTGCCTCCCGAGTGCTGGGATTAAAGGCGTGCGCCACCACCGCCCGGCTTGCTGTCGTTTACTTTTGAGTCGTCGTTAGCCCCGTTTTCACATTTCCTTTGGCAAAGCTTCTCCAAATGTCATGAAGCTAGTCACGTTTAAGCACCGACTGTAGCAGTGGGGAAAAGAAAACAAAAACAAAACACATTGCCATCGATGCTGGGAGTTACCAGAGAAGCCGGGGATAGCGGAGGGGTGGTGGTTTTGGAGCCCCTGAAAATAGCCTGTAAATGTGCTTATGTATTAGTAGTTGGGTTTGGTATAAATCTTAACACTTTTCTCATTTTGATTTCTTATTTTGAGTCTATCACAGTAACTCCTGCCCTTAGAGCAAGATTCCACCCTCCCCTCCCCGCCCCCAAGTCTTTGAAGGCCAGCATTGGCTTTGCTAGAAAAGCTGCTCTCAAGGCCCAAAGGAGAGATGATATTGTTCAATTGTAAGGACTTTGTTCCCTCTTATGACCCTGTGACCCTGAGTGCATTCAGAACATTCTAAGTCAGTACTTATTAAGTAATTGCTGAATGTCTTTGCACAAGGTTAGGCGTCCTTTCACAGGGAACTTGCCCCTAATGCTTTCTTTCTTTTTCTTTTGCCTTATACCCAGGAAAGGAAACCATGCAGGCATTTCTAAAAGGCACATCTGCCGGTACTAAACCACAGTTCACCAAGGACCGGGCAGTGTCTGCCACTGCAGGAAGCAGTGGAGAAACCAAGAAAGTCAAACCAGTTCCTTGGGTGGAAAAATAGTAAGAATTAATCATTCTTTTGTTGTTGGAATAACTAATAAGTTTCCTCTTTCATCAGTTCTAGTCCATTTTTTTTTAATGTAAGGTGGATATGCTTGGACATCAGATGTAGCACAAATTCTTATTGTTATTAATAAAAACCTGGAGTGAGGTATTAGGGGTGAAAGCTGAAGGATCAGAGAAGCAGAGCCACAGAGCCACTAGAGAGACCTTTCACCTCTACTGAATCCTCCAGTTGAAGGAACAATCCTGTCCCTATGAACCCTCAGACTGCAATGAGCTCCTATCTCCTCCCAGCCACATCACTCCTGTCTCTTCCCAGGGGCTGGGATTAAAGGCCTGAGATCCCAAGGGCTAGGGTCACCTTTGTGTGAGCTCTCTCTTTTAGACTATATCAATTTTGTGTAGCTCGGGGTAGCCTTAAACTAACAGGTCACCTGCCTCTGTCTTCTGAATCCTGGGATTAAAGGTGTGTGCCATCAATGCCTGGCCTCTAGTGGCTTAGCTCTGCACTCTGATCTTCAGGCAAGCTTTATTTGTTAAAACGCACAATATCACTACAGGGGATTTGCCGTATATAGATGCTAACTTTGTGGGAAGGAAATCACCCAGTTATATAAGTATAAGTCCTTGGACTGATATAGTGCTGAGTTTAATTCTGTAATTTTATTTTATAAGTGAGCTAAAATTTTTATAAAGGGTACAGTTTTAGAGTCTTAGGTACAGAAATAAACAACCTCTCTGTGAGCTGGCTATAAATAGTAGTTCTACTGAAATCTCAATTCTGTCCCCATTTATTATAATATGCTGGAAATTTTGGGGGTTTTGTTTTTTAGCATAAGAAAAAAGGTTTGAAGTAGCACTAAGTTGTCATCAGCTAGGTGATACTCGGTATAATCATTAACTAGCCTCTGTCGTTACCAAGGATTTTCAGGTTATTTACAAACTAAACAAGGCCTTTATGTTATTTTTGTTGTTTTAATCATTTTTGAGAAATAAGTACATGCACATCATTCCCACCCCTCTCTACCCCCAATTCATTGCATGTTCGTGTCCCCAAAGTCAGTGCTTATAGCAATCTAGATTTTGTTGTTGTTTTAATTTTATTTATTGTGTATTCTGGAGAGTAAAGGTGCCTGTGTGCCACAGCCTGTGCATGGCGGTCCAAGGACAACTTGTGGTAATCAGTTCTCAGCTTCCACCCCGCTGAAGCAGGATCTCTTGTTTCTCCTACTGTGCGGCCTTCTCCAGGCTAGCTGGCTCCTGAGCTCCCAGGCAGTTCTGCCTCTAGTCTCCCTGTAGGAGTGCTGGTATTAATACAGCTAACGTGTCTACCCAGGTTCCGTGGATCTGATTCAGAGCCTCAGGCTGTAAAGGCTAGCACTCACCTGTTGCGCCATCTTCCTGACTCTAATCTAGATTTTTAATTTACTTTGCATTAATTCACTGGCTTTTCTACATGGTAGGTAAGCACTCTACCAATGAACTGTACTCGAGCTCAGAATTCTATGTTTCTTTGCATTTCTAAGTTTTATTGCTGGGGAAGGAGGGTGCATGCCTTAGAAAGCATGCCTTGACTCACGTGGAAGACAGGACAACTTGCAGGAGTTAAGTGCTTTTGCCTCTTATCTTACCGGCTCCAAAACTAGATTATTTTTTGAATTAAAAAAAAAATATGGGGGGGGGCTGGAGAGATGGCTCAGAGGTTAAAAGAACTGACTGCTGTTCCAGAGGTCCTGAGTTCAATTCCCAGCAACCACATGATCGCTCATACCCATCTATAATGAGATCTGGTGCCTAGAACACTATATATACACATGCACACACACACACACACACACACACACACACACATACACACATAATAAATTTAAAAAAATATGTGGGGAAGGGAGAAATCTAGATTTTCAGCTTCCCCAATCAGTCTGGATACGTTCTTGCATGACATCAGACTGTATGCTGCTTCTCCTTTGGAGAGGCTTTACATCACCATATAGCTGCTGTTCATCGTTTTCATTGATATCTGTCTAATCCTTGCAGGTATTTGGATGAGAGTTTGACTTACAGCACACAATGATTCTTGCCCAGTATTAACCTGATTAATTATAAAAGTGTGAGTCAGAGAATTTTGGGGCCGGTGAAAAGGCTCAGTGGGAAAGACCCTTGGCTGTGTAAACCTGACAACATAAGTGTGATCCCTGAACACCACAGTGGAAGGAGAGAAGTGACTCCTGAAAGTGTGTACACACACACACATAACACTAAAAAGTTTTGAATTGTGTTTATTTTAGTTTACATGTGTGAGTGTTTGGCCTGCATGTATGCCTGTGTACCATGTGCCCATAGAGGCCAGAAAAGGGTATCAGAGCCCATAGGGCTATAGTTCTAGATGGTTGTGAGCTGCCATATGGGCACTGGGAATTGAACCCGGGCCCTGTGGAAGAGCAACAGTTGATCTTAAGCACTGAGACATCTCTGTAGCCCCCATAACTTTCTTAAAATAAAAGGATGTTTTGTTAGTTTATTAAGCAGAAACTTGAGTTGTACAACCTGGGAGAGCAACTTTGTCATAGTAATTACTGACTAATGGCTGGAGGTGGTGCTCACACCTTTAGTCACAGCACTGGAAAGGCAGAAGCAGGCGGATCTCTGTGGTCCAGGTAGCAAGTTCTAAGCTAGCCAGAGCTACATAGTGAGACTTTGTCTCAAAGTATAAAAATTACTAATAAATTACTTACAATAAAAGTTATTATCTGGGTGTGGTGATGCACGCCTTTAATCCAAGCACTCAGGTGGCAGAGGCAGGCAGATTTCTGAGGTCAAGGCTACCCTGATCTACAGAATGAGTTCCAGGACAGCCAGAACTAACCAGATAAAAACCGTCTCAAACAAAACAAAAAAGGTCTCCTTTATTTTGGCGTAGTTAGTTGTTAGAAAAAATGGTACTAACCATATAATGTATTAGTAGAGACAGAAAGTGTGTGTGTGTTTACGCAGACGTTAGATATATTATTTTACAGACCAGACAGGTGTTCGCATTTTTCTTTTCTTTCTTTTCTTTTCCTTTTTCTCTTTTTTCTTTCTTTCTCTCTTTTTTCTCCTCTCTCTTTTTCTTCCTTCCTTCCCTTTTTTTTTTTTTTTTTTTAAAGACAGGATCCTGACTGTCCTGGAATACACTATGTAGACCAAGTTGGCTTCAAACTCAGAGATCCTTGCTAGGATTAAAGAGGTGGGCCTCCATACCCAGTTCACTGTAAATTAAATTCCTCTGCTTAATAATTTATGTGTGCAGTATAGGTAGAAACAAAAATCATTTCATTCCACTACTGTGTATTTTCTTATGGTAAATACAAATGAAGACTGCCTACTTTCAATTTTATAACTGAGAAGCTATCATTGATTGGTATTTTAGCAGAAGGAACACTTGAAACTTCTGTGGCTACCACATATGCTAAAATAACCTCCCTTCCCTCCATCCTTCAGTCGTCCAAAGTGTGTGGATGAAGTTGCTTTCCAGGAAGAAGTGGTTGCGGTACTTAAAAAGTCTTTAGAAGGAGCTGATGTAAGTAGATGGTGTTTGATGGGCATTGGGAAGTTAGCATTTATTCACCTCTTCCTTTATTTTAACCTTTTATCCATAAATATAACCTTAAATATATGCTATAAGTCTTTGATGCTACAATTATCATCTTCTGTGTGGCATTCTTATGTGGTGTTCAAGATCACTGAATACAGCCTGGTGGTGGTGGTAGTGCATGCTTTTAATCCCAGCACTCAGGAGGCAGAGGCAGGTGGATCTCTGAGTTTCAGGCCAGCCTGGCATAGAATGAGTTCCAGGAAAGCCAGAGCTACAAGAGAAGCTCTATCTGGAAAAGCAACGACAAAGTACGGTGAGTAAGATACATTGGGACCCTTTCTCCATGAGCTTATATTTTGGAGAGGAAAGAGAATAAAGAAGTAAATCAAGTTAGATATAAGCATGTTACAAGTAATTACAAATACTTGTTACAGAAAAGAGCCGATTTTAAAATAGATATAGTTGGCTGGGTGTCGTGGCATGTGCCTTTAATTCTAACACTTCAGAAGAATAGGCTGCTCTGTTGTACATAGTAAATTCCAGAACAGTCACAGTGAGACCCTGTCTGAAACATGTGTATGTGTAGGTACATATTTTTTTAACCTAGTTTTATTAAAAAATAGAGCATTTAATTCTTAGAACACTGCATTTCCTGTCATGGATAGGACAAAATATCCTTGATAACTTGCTTTTAAATTATTATAGTCAACATAAGCCCATTTGAAGAGTTAGCAGGTTTGTTTGGTTTAGTTTTTGAGACTGGGTTTTAGGTACTCTAAACTAGCCTTGAATTCCCAGTGTAGCTGAAGATAATCTCATATTTTAGAACCTCCTGGTTCTACTTCCCAAATGATGTCATTGCAGGTGTATACTAGGACACCTGGCTGAGTAAGCAGTTTTAAATTATATATGAAGAGGTGTCCCCATGTCTTATGAGCTCAGTACAGAAAGGGAATCAGAGGTGAGCATAGGACGTAGTTTTTGCTTTATTCTTAAGTTCTGTCTCCTAAACCTGACTGCCTTTAGAGACTTGGTTTGCCCTTCCATTATTCATTTCTGAAGTTACGGCACAGGTTAAGGAGTGTCACTTTTCCAGAGTGATTGGAACCAAATATGTTTTGGATTTTTGATTGTGTTTGTTTTGTTTTGTTTTGTTTTTTATTAGATTTTGGAATGTTTGTGGGTTAGGCAACTTTGCATCTTTTTAACAAAATATCTGATATAAACAACTTAAAAGGGAAGTTTGTTTTGGCTTACAGTTCAGAAGTTTCATTACGTTTTGCACTACAGGCTGATGACAAAGCCTTAGCATATGGGCCTTTTTTTTTTTGGTTTTTTTCGAGACAGGGTTTCTCTGTGGTTTTGGAGCCTGTCCTGGAACTAGCTCTTGTAGACCAGGCTGGTCTCGAACTCACAGAGATCCTCCTGCCTCTGCCTATGGGCCTTTTGGAAACACTTAAAACCTAAGCATTAACACTTACATAAATCCAAATTAAATGTATTTGAGATGAGACCCGCAAGTCAACACAGAATTCATTAATGTTTCATACCCATGCCCTGAATTTTATACAGTGGCATTTTGTGAATTGAGGTTTTCATACAATCAAAAACAAAGCTGTAAATATCTTACCCACCCATGTAGGCAGTTGTGGATTGGTATCACATCATTGCTGACTTTTTTTCCCACTTCTTTTGTTTATTTGCCTTTTTCTGACAGTTTCTCTTTGTAGCTCTGACTGTCCTGGAACAATAAGTTACTGTTTTCTACATTCACATATCAGTGAATTAGTACTTTTAGTGGTACATCAAACGTTCCCTTGTAGTACGATGAAAAAAAAAAAATGTCTTCAGAGGAACCATGTGTGTGGCAGCACACTAATATTTAAAACAGTCTGGATTTGGGATTCCAATGAGGGATTCTCAGCCTGTGTTATACTACACAATGAGAAAACACCTAGTTAAATTTTAAAATCCTTTCCAGTATTCATTTTGATTTGATCCAAATACCATTTGTCTTTTAATGCTATAATAGTATACAATGTTCATTGGCTACTAACAGATTACAAAGTAATTATTAACATTTCTAGACAAATGTAAGACTGTCACCTAATATAACATTGGTTAACCTCTTTTTTATCTGGGCCTGCAAGTGCAGGTATACTCTTAGCTACTCAGGGATTGAGGCCCGAAGACTGTAAACTCAAGGCCAGTCAGGCCAAGTTAGCCAATCCTGCCTCAAAATATAAAGTCAAAAAAAGGGTGGGGATGTTTACTGGTAAATTTTTAAATAATATGTTTGATCTCCAGTGGTACAGAAAAGGAGGTCTTATTTAATATTTTACACTTCATTTCTGAAGAAATTAATAAAGTGATTTTTGTTTTACTTTAAAGAGTTAAAAGTCCTTTCTTTCAAATATTTTAAAATTGAACTACAATAGTTTTTTTTTTTCTGAGATCAGTTTATATAGTATAAAAATTAATATTCTTAAGAGAAGGTAGCCAGGCAGTGGCGATACACGCCTTAATCCTAGCACTTGGGAGGCAAACAGATCTCTGAGTTTGAGACTAACCTGGTCTGCAGAGTGAGTTCCAGGACAGCCAGGACTAACACAGAGAAACCCTGTCTGGAAAAACGAAAAAGAGAGAAAGGGTAATGGGGGTAAAAACATGATACACACACACACAATTATTTAATGTATAACTAATAAATGTTAACTAAAGACATTTTAAAATAATTTTACTCAACTGTGCAATGTTGGTACATGCCTTTAATCCCAGCACTCAGGGAGGCAGAGGCAGGAGGATCTCATGAGTTCAAGACCAGCCTGGGCTACAGAGTGAGTTCCAGGACAGCTGGAGATACACAGAAAAACCCTGTCTCAAAAAACCAAAATAATAATTTTACTCTTGGCTTAAAGAACTGAGGTGTGTTTTAGTTACCTTGATTAATCATTACAAATAGAGCCATATACATATCAAAGTAATTATCACCTTAAAAAATATGAACCTGAGAGGGTATGCTAATTCATTTGCACATTGCAGTGATACCATCCCTGACACAAACAGCTTAGGATTTAGGCAGTCTCTCAGCGCAGGGAAGGCATGGGACTTTTGTTGGCTGGTCATACTGCATTTATGACCAAGAAGCATAGAGATGAACGCTAGTCCTGACTCCCTGACTCCTTTTGATGCTCTGAGGCTTATTTCCTCAGTGACTCTAGAACATGTCACGTTTACAATCAGTCCTACATCCCAAGTCTCTTGTCAACTTGACATCCAAACACACGACTTTTTTTGTTTTGGTCTTTTGGTTTTTCGAGTCAGGGTTTCTCTGTAGCTTTAGAGCCTGTCCAGGAACTCACTTTATAGAACAGGCTGGCCTCAAACTCACAGGGATCCACTTGTCTCTTCCTCCCGAGGGCTGGGATTAAAGACATGTGCCACCACCATGAAATGGCTCCAAACATACAACTTTTAAGCTATGCTGTTCTGACCCTCATCCCCATAGGCTGATGGCTGGCTCATAATACAAAATGTATTCAACACAATTTCAAAAATTCTCTGTCTTAAAGAGCAGAGACTTCTGAGACTCCCTCTGTAAGCTGTGAGTCCCTTACAATCCAAGCCAAGTTACATAATTTTAATATACAATTGCAAAGTGAACATCCCTATCCCAAAAGGGAGGAAGGGCACATAGCAAGGGAAGAATAGATCAAAGCATATCTTAAACCAGCTGGACAAACATGAGGTTCTAGAACAAAGGACTTAGGTAGCCTCATCCCTCCAGCTTGGCCACCTCCAGCACACATGATTTCTATCTTGGACCAGCTCCTCAGTAGACATCCCACTATCTTACGTCTCCACATCCCGGGGTCTCCAGTGCAACTTCTGCCTCACTCTCACAGTAACCTCAGCGGCCTCTCTCCACTATGACTGTATTCTTTTTTTTTTTTTTTTTTTTTTGTTTTTGTTTTTGTTTTTGTTTTTTTTTCGAGACAGGGTTTCTCTGTGGTTTTGGAGCCTGTCCTGGAACTAGCTCTTGTAGACCAGGCTGGTCTCGAACTCACAGAGATCCGCCTGCCTCTGCCTCCCGAGTGCTGGGATTAAAGGCGTGCGCCACCACCGCCCGGCCTATGACTGTATTCTTAAATTGTTCATATCTGTAAAACTAGTGCCATGTAGGTGAGGGTACTGAGTTCTGCTTCCAGTTCAACATGTAGCTTGGTCTGTCTGAACTACTGTTTCATAGACCTGTGTGGCTTCTGGGCTGACCCTAGAATATTCCTAGAGATATTTCTCAAGGACATACCCAAGGGTTTGTGAACCCAGGATCTGTTAATATAAATCATCATATAGGATATTTTGACTTTTTTTTTTTGAAAAATAGGGTCTCATAGCTTTATCTAAACTATGTGTTGTTAATGTGGTAGTCTTCTTTTAAAATAATTTTATGTGCATTGGTGTTTTGCCTACATGTCTGTCTGTAAGGTGTCAGGTCTTGGAGTTAATGACAGTTGTGAGCTGCCATGTGGTTGTTGGGAATTGAACCTGGGTCCTGTGGAAGAGCAGTCAGTGCTCTTAACTGCTGAACCATCTCTCCAGCCCCAATTTTTTTCTTTCTCTTTTTTTTTTCTTTTTCTTATTTATTTATTTATTTATTATGTATACAATATTCTGTCTGCATGTATGTCTGCAGGCCAGAAGAGGGCACCAGACCTCATTACAGATGGTTGTGAGCCACCATGTGGTTGCTGGGAATTGAACTCAGAACCTTTGGAAGAGCAGGCAATGCTCTTAACCACTGAACCATCTCCCCAGCCCCCTCTTTCTCTTTTTTCTATTTTAGGGTAGGATTTCTCTGTGTAGCCCTGGCTGTCCTGGAACTCACTCTATGGACTAGGCTGGCCTCAAACTCAGAGATCTGCTGGATTCTGCCTCCTGAGTATTAGGATTAAAGGCATGCACCACTACACCCAGCAGTAAAAGTTTTTCACCTTTTTAAGTGAGCTATCTAGTGAGGTTGGCGGGTATTTTATAATTAAATTCAACTGTTAAACAATTAATAAATGCAGATTTTAAAAAGTGCAGCAAATATAGAATCCAACTTGAAGTGCATAGCCTTGACATGGCAAGCAGAATGGTGTCAGAGTCCAGATTGAGAATTACATACATTCAGAGGAGAAAGTTCTTTCTTACTGCAAGTCATTATAAGTGCTTGAGGTTTTGTTGCTGTTTTCTGAGTGGAGTAGGAAGCCGACGAAGGCTTTTAAGTGGCACTCAGGGCAGTACCTGGGTGTTTGGGTAAAGCATGAATGGACAAGAGGGGCAACATCTGGTAAAAGTCAAACTACTACCTACTTATCTTCAGAATTCTACCTGAGTTAGAGCTTAATGCATTATCAAGGTATAGTAGACTGGAATTCTAAGTGGAGGCAGGAGGGTCAGGAGTTCAAGGTCATCTATAATTACATAGCAAGGTCAAAGGCATATTTAGAACTTTAAACACTGCGACAGCATTTAAATGTAGTCCATCAGGAAAGTCATCATACCATTTCACAGACCGTTGGGTTTTGTCGGTTTCATCTATTTGTGACAGAATATAATCTACAAAAATTAAAATTTAATTTTTGCAGCTTCCTAATCTCTTATTCTATGGGCCACCCGGAACTGGCAAAACATCCACAATTTTGGCAGCAGCTAGAGAACTCTTTGGGTAAGTTGACATTGGTTGATGTCTTAGTCACTTTTCTATTGATGTTAAGAGACACCATGACCAAGATGACAAATATAAAAGAAAGCATTGAATTGGGGTTTGCGCACTGGTTTTCAGAGGTTTAGTCCATTATGGTCATGGTAGGGAGCGTGGTGGCTCACAGGCAGGCATGATGCTGAAGAAGGAGCTGAGAACTACATCCTGATCTACAGGCGGTGACAGAGAGAGCCTAGGTCTGGCATGGGCTTTTGGAACCTCAGAGCCCACCCTAATGGCACACATGCTCCAACAAGGCCACAAATTCTTCTCTAATAGTGCCACGTTTTGATGGCTATACTTTCAAATAAATGAGGCTTTGGGGTCATTCATATCCAAACCACCACAGCTGGTCAGTTTCTTTTTAAAGACTATACACCAGGGACTAAAGAGATGGCTTAAGTGTTTGGAGAACTTTCTGATCTTCCCATAGAACCAGAATTTGGTTCCTAGCATCCACATCTGGTGAGTCACAAATGCCTGTTAACTCCAGCTCCGGGGGAACAGACACCTTTTTGTTTTCAGGTATCCAAACACACATGGCATTTACTCACATAGAAACATGCTAAGTAAAAATCTTAAGTAAAAAAGAAAAGGTTTTGAGAGGTGACTCAGTGGTTAAGACTATTCACTATGAATTGAAGAGATGACTTCGGTTTTTCTGATCTTCAGAGAACCTAAGTTCCCTCCCAGCACCCATGCTGACCAACCATGCTTTAAGTCTGGCTCATCCTATACCTGTTTCCTCCATGGGCACCTGCATTCTGGACACACACACAAAGCACATATAATTAAAAATATTTTTAAAAGACTTAAGGATCATTCCCTGACATCTCCAGACAGCTGTGGGTGGTGGGGCAGCACATCTTTAATCCTAACACTTGGGAGGCAAGGGCAGGCAGATCTCTGGGTTTGAGAACAGCCTGGTCTACAGAGTGAGTTCCAGTACAGATAGACAACCAGGACTACATAGAAAAGCCCCATCTGGGGGGGGGGGGGGGATGTTCATAGTCACTCATTGTGCATACTTGTAACACTTAAGAGGCTAAGGCAGGGGCCTCATGAGTCTAAGGCTACATGACAAGAACAGTTTCCAAAATAATGTTTATAATTGTCTTAAAGAATGTACTTGTAAATGCCATACTTAGTTGTACATGTGACTTTTCAAAGTACATGCACTGAGTTCTCTAAATGTTTATGCCTTAGAATATTTAGGATCTCATACTAATTTGGAAAAATGAAGAATAACCTAAACCACTTGGCTTAGAGAGATGGTTTAGCTTTATCAAAGGTAGCAAAGAACCAGAGTTCAGATCAGGTAGCTTATATCAGCTCTAAGGGATCTAATACACCCTCTAGCCGCTGGGCACAGACACACACACACATGCGCTAGACATGATACAACACGCCTATAATCCTAGTGAAATAATCTCAAATTTGAGGCCAGTTTGGGCTTCACAGCAGAACCCTGTTTCCAAAAAGAAAAAGTATATGTGCACATTTTGTCTGTGTAGAGAATTTGGAAAACAGTGGTTTTCTAGGGGATAATTTTATTTTATTTCTCAGATCTCTATAGTAGCATATACTACTTTAAGTAAAAAATGTTTCTATACCAGTTAGGAGTGGTGATGCACGCCTTTGATCTAGCACTCAGGAGGCAGAGGGATCTCTGTGAGTTCAAGGCCAGCCTGTCTATGATTCTAGGATAGCCAGAGATAAAACAGAGAAATCCTGCCTCCAAAAACAACAGTGACAACAAAAGGTTTATATGCCAGGTGCGATGGTACATGCCTATAAATCCTATACTGAAAAGTGGAAATAGAACTGAAAGCTGAGCCACCCTGAGTTACATAGCTCTAATGTAGCCTGGCTATGAGCATCCATCTCTTATGGACAGGAAAGCTTATTTTGCAGCGGTATCAATGACTGCAGTCTCAGTCAGTGAGAGACCCTGAAGGCTTCTGTAAGAGCCTCTCTCCCAGTGCTCACTCCAGCAGTCTAGACAGGAAGATACTGAAGACAGTTTTTCACAGTTGATGGCTTCTAGTGGGGGAGGGCTCGCTCATTTTTATCATGTTCCAGTGAGTATATGAACAGCACAAATTATACCTGGTGTATTTTTCTCTTTGTGGGGGTTGTGGGGGGACCTGGAAAGACTGGGAAGCAAGTGTGATGGGGTACATTGTGTGAAATTTCCAAATAATCAATAGAAATATTATGTTGGAGAAAACATCTTTTAAAACGTTCATATTTGGGGGCTGGAGAGAGATGGCTCAGAGGTTAAGAGCACTCACTGGCTGCTCTTCCAGAGAACCTGAGTTCAATTCCCAGCAACCACATGGGGCTCACAGCTATCTGTAATGAGATCTGGTGCTTTCTTCTGGCCTGCAGGCATATGTGCAAGCAGAATACTGTATACATAATAAAATCTTTAACAAAAAATTAAGTTCTATTTAGGCTTGAGGTATATGCCCTGAGTCTGACCCTTGCCACATACAACCTTACTCATTCATGTTTTAATCCAGAAATTTACCTTTTAGCAAGTTATTTTATGGGAATAATTCAATGTGCTAAATTATAACATTTAAAACCCAATAGATATCTAACAATGGAATGAATGTTACTGGTTTTAGTAGAAAGTGGATGCTTATTACACAAAACTGAGAAATTAAATATTTATTTGAAGACGTGGTCTCACTGTATGTAAACGAGGCTGGCCTTAAACTCAGAGATCCCCAGATCTGATTGCCTCTGCCTCCCAAGTGCTGAGATTAAAGTTGGCCACCGTGCCTGGGCTCTAGGTTTTAGCCAAAATGTTAGATGCATAGCTCCACAAAGAAAGACCATGTGTGTAATTGTGCCGCCTTTTGGTTTTGCTCACCAGGTGTGTTCTAACTCCCGAGTTAAAACAGCATCAGCACCTGGGTTACTTAGTGCTGTTATGTTTCATAATGCTTTTCATTTTGAAATAGGCCTGAACTCTTTCGACAAAGGGTTCTTGAGCTAAATGCATCTGATGAACGTGGAATACAAGTAGTCCGTGAGAAAGTGAAGAATTTTGCTCAGTTAACTGTGTCAGGAAGTCGTTCGGAGTAAGTAACTTGCCTCCCCTCTCTGTAATACAGCTCCTTCTATTTGCTTTAAATGTAGACTGTGGTTTAAATTTGGCCTCCAGTGTAGCATTTGGGTGAGATAATTGGTAGTTATGAAACTAAGTCCCCTCGTGTCTTTATAAGAAAATGGTAGACCCTGTTTAGCACAATTATTCAATAGTTTTAACAAAAAAAAAAAAAAAAAAGAAATCCTCAACAGATAAACTGTCCCAGCCGCTCAGTCTCAGATACCATGTTATAACAACACAGACTAGCCTAAAATCAATCTGAGTTCACAGTGGAAAGTGCTTACACCTAGAGTGGACAGAGAGTGAGAAGTCGACGAATAGGCAGCAACTTAGGTTCCTGCTCTTGATGCAGCCAGGCCCTGCAAGGTCCTGTTGCTATTGCGTCTGGTTCTCCCTCAGCATGTGGTCTTGCTATGAGAGCCTACACTGTCCTAATTCTGCAGCTGTTCTGTCTCTCCTCCCTGGGGTGGGTAGCAGGGGCATGCCTCCTCCCTCCCTCTGTTGTTACATGAAAGGCATTGGTGTCAGTCACTAATAGCCTGGCAACATGAAGGCTAAAAAGCCTTAGAATGCTTCTAGTAGTTTCCTGAATATCATAAAACTATCCTGGGCCAACTAAATGAACAGTAAAAGCCAAAAACAAGATTCATCTTCATTAAATAAAAATGCTATAGAAAATAAAAATGAAGCGAAATCAGTGTACAGAAAATAACCCACAAAATGGAAATGTTTACAAGTCATATCTAGAAAAGGACTTATATCCAGAATATATAAAGAATTCAATTAAAAATACAACTACAAAATGGGCAAAGATCATAGACATTTCTCAACCAATACCATGGCTGAAATTAAAAAAAAAAAAAAAACACAGAAAACAACCAGCACTTGTTAAGGAGAAACACTGTAAATTTCACCTATTGATGGATTATAAAGTAGTACAGTGTCTTAGAAAATAGTTTGTCAGCTCCTCTAACGATTAAGTAGAATTGCGCTTGAGTGAGATAGCCAACAGTGAAGGACCAGCTCCTGAGTCCAGTCCTGGAATCCATGCAATGGAGAAGACTGGTTGTCCAAAAGGTTGTCCTCTGACCTCACTTGAATGCTGTACACACACACACTTTTTTTTTTTTTTGGTTTTTCGAGACAGGGTTTCTCTGTAGCTTTGGTGCCCATCCCGGAACTAGCTCTTGTAGACCAGGCTGGCCTCGAACTCCCAGAGATCCACCTGCCTCTGCCTCCCCAGTGCTGGGATTAAAGACGTGCGCCACCACTGCCCGGCCACACTTTCTTTCTTTTTCTTTTTTCTTTTCTTTAAGATTAAGAATTACCACGTGGGTGCTGGAGCAATGGCTTAGAAGTTAAGATGGCTCTTCCAGATGACCCGGGCACAATTCCCAGCACCCACATGGTGGCTCACAACTGTCTACAGTTCTGGAAGATCCAACACCCTTATATACGCAAACACACAGGCAAAACATCAATGAACAAACAAACTATATTTTTAAAAGGAAAAAAATTAAACCACATGACCCAAAAATTCCATCCCTTGTATTCTTGCATAGAAGATTAAAGTTGATGAATGCCTAAAATGTGTACAGATGTAATTATTCCTATTAGACAAAACACCAAAATATCCAAATGATTAGTGGGTAAACAAAATGTGAAATACCCATCTGCCTATTTGGTTATAAAGAAGTTAAGTATTGGCACCCACTACCATATGGTTAAGTGAAAAAACCGAGCTATAGATCATACCTTCATACAGGCAGTAGACAAGTGGAGCTGGGGTCTTGACAACAGCTGCTTTTTCAGGGAAAAGTCTAAAGTTAGATTTGTTGACGGCTTTACTGTAGGTTCCCCAAACTGTCTATACTGTCAGTTACCTGTGGTTAACTATGGTCTGAAAACAACTAATGGAGAACTTCAGAAATAGTTGGTTTAAATTGCACACCCACCATTCTGAGTAGCTTAGAGACAGTGTCATTTTGACCAGTCTGGGACATAAGTTTGTCTGGGATGCCCACTCTGAACTATTGCTGGAGTATGAAAGGAGGTTAAAATTACCCTATAGCACAAAGAACAGTAATATGTTGAATTTCCTTTATCTGTATCATTTTGTAAACAATATAGGTTGAGATGATTCAGAGGGAAAAAAGTATTTACCATGCAAGCCTGAAAACCTGAGTTTGTTCTCCAGAACCCTTGTTAAGGTGGAAAGAACCCACTCCAGGTACCCTATTTTCTTACAGGAGTACTATGGGAAGCATGCACCTACCCATACACATTATACACACACCCTAATAAGCTGAGTTATTTACAAGTTATAGGTTACCACATACTAAGATACAAGTGGGTGAACTGTGTATTTTATCTCAGCAAAGATACTTACCGGTTTTTAACTCCTGTGTTTCTGATTTAGTGGGAAGCCATGTCCTCCCTTTAAGATTATAATTCTGGATGAAGCAGATTCTATGACCTCAGCTGCTCAAGCAGCTTTAAGACGTACCATGGAAAAAGAGTCTAAAACAACCAGATTCTGCCTCATCTGTAACTATGTCAGTCGGTATGTATACACCCTGAAGCAACATGCTAAACCGCCTTTTTAAAGCTAACATTGGTATGCCAGGTGACGTGTCTATACATTCATACATGTGTAACAGTTGGATCAAAGTAACTGATTCATCTTTCACTTTGGATTTGTAGTGACAACATTCCTTATTCTATGTTAATTTGAAGTGCACCATCATGGTTGGTTTTCAATCTTTTCCAGAATAATTGAACCCCTCACTTCTAGATGTTCAAAGTTCCGCTTCAAGCCTCTGTCAGATAAAATTCAGCAGGAGCGATTACTGGATATTGCTGAGAAGGAAAATGTTAAAATCAGCAATGAGGTAAATACTAATTAAGATTATATATTAATTCTTTTTATGAATGTACATCTTAAAGAGGTCCTGAAAGTTATAATTGAGCACAATTGAAACTCATGATTCCACATATACTTTTTTTTTTTCCTGAGACGGTTTCTGTGTACTCTATAGAAACCTCTGCTTCCCCCAGTACTGGGATTAAAGGCATGCCCTACCACTTTTTAAATGGCCTCTTCACATTTGATTCCTTTCTAAAGCAAAGGTCTGCCTTTGCACAGATGCTATCTCAACCCACCTGCAAGACTGAGAAACCCTGTCTAAAAACTAAGACTCTAAACAGGATTCTCTCCAGCATTATGGGAATTTAGTTGTCTTTGTGTGGCAAGCACCTGGTAAGCATCTGGCCAGACCAATTTTCCTAACTCTTTTTCAGGGAATAGCTTATCTTGTTAAAATATCAGAAGGAGATCTACGGAAAGCCATTACATTTCTTCAAAGTGCTACTCGACTAACAGGCGGAAAGGAAGTCATGGAAGATATCATCACAGACATTGCTGGCGTGAGCACTTGGCAACTCCTAGCTCTTTTTATTATTCCAGTACTCAAGTTGGAGACCTTGCCCTGACTTTTAAATGTCTATTCTTTCAGGTAATACCAGCTACAACCATTAGTGGAGTATTCACTGCATGTCACAGTGGCTCTTTTGACAAACTAGAAGCTGTGGTAAAGGTAATTATTAGTTAAAAATAAGATTTTCAAAGCAGTTCTTTTATTATTTGATAAAATAAACTATTTCTGTTGCAGGACCTAATTGATGAAGGACATGCAGCTATTCAGCTTGTTAATCAACTTCATGATGCAGTTGTAGAAGATGAAGAGCTTTCTGATAAGCAGAAGTCCATTATTACAGAAAAACTTGCTGTAAGTATTGAGGCTGTGCAGAACTGTATGTCTCTCTGCCCCCTGGGTGCCTGACTTAAACTTTGCTTATTCCCTTTGCAGGAAGTGGATAAATGTCTGGCGGATGGTGCAGATGAACACCTGCAGTTAATGAGCCTCTGTGCAACTGTGATGCAGCAACTAACTCAGAACTTCTGAAGACCAACTTGTGTGATGATCTTTTTAGCTAATAAATAAACGACAAAAACCCTATAAAGTGAATATACAATTTATTTAACATTCAAACTTCATTAAGACATGTGCAATATGGCAATTTTACTGTGGGTTTAACCCTACCTAGGATGATTGCTTGCTGAGGCTTAGCAACAGGGTCCAGTTCACGCTTAGCACTAATTAAATACTTTATTGAATAAATACAATACCAAACAAAATGCATTCAAATGTTTTCTAAAAAAAGAAAAATCACTTTTAAAGGCCTTTTCTAATCAGGCTAATGACAAATACAATAAAGGCAGATATGCTAGTTTAACATAATTGGCTGATTTTATACAGCACTTATATCTTTTAGTCCACAAGTATATTATTAAATGATAGAGAACATCTAATACAACCATTTCTACATAACTAGTAAATGAATTTCTAAGAAAAAAAGATTTTACAGACCCCATCTTTTTATACCCACCCCAACAGTCTAACTCTAAAGAGGATAAAGCCAATGCCTTTCCTCACAAGAGCTCAGGACTAAAGTCGCTTTGCTATCAGAATCTGTATTTGTGATCCGTTATGAGCATTGAGACAAGATTCAAATATTCTCAAAGAAGCACAATGCACGTTGTGATCGCCTATTCAGCAACAGCGAGCACTGCATTCAAACTATCTCATCCCAGGAATTAAATAAGGTCAGCCACATTCATGGGCATTTCCTCCACTGTAGTATTGTAGAAAGTCTCAATGTCACGAAGAATCCTCTTGTCTTCTTCAGTAACAAAGTTTATAGCCACACCTTTCCTCCCAAATCGACCCCCTCTGCCAATTCTGTGTAAGAAAAAAGAAACCAGCAGTCAGGATGTTGCTTTAGTATTACTTCATACTACTGAATATGACGATCCACTTGTTAACCATCAGCTGCTGTTTACTTATGGTTATAGTTCGTGCTTCTAAGTGGAGCACTAGCCGCTAAAAACCAATATATCCAGAGGTGGGAGGAACCATCTTCCTCTGCAGTTAGTGCCAAAAGATTTCAAGGCTTGTCTGGCTGCAAAATGAGATAGGCGCCTTGAGCATTATAATAAAAGCAGATGACAGTATTGTGTTTGGGGTGAATTAAAGCCCATACCAAAGTGGGCCAGCCAGGAGCAGATGTCAGCCTGGGACAGATGTAAACACCAGGGATAAAAGAAAACAGTTATAAAATCCATTTCGACGCACTTCTGGAACTGTAAACTGTAAATACAAATGCTGCAAGGTTAACTATTTCCTAAAACTTACTTTTTTTTCCAGTGGGAAAACAAATATTTGGTATGGTAACCCAAACTTATCACTGCTTTTTGCTCAGCTTTTCACACGTTATACTCAAGATTACTCAAACGTGTTACCTCCAAAACAGCTCTACCTTCCTACCAAGTACCAGACAGTACAGACCACCTAACGCTCCCTATCATAAATGCTAACATAACAAAATGCCTTTGGCTGGAACAACTTAAAATATCAAATAATCATGACAAAAGAAAATCAAATATAAATACCGACTCGCTCTTTATTCAAACAGTGTGCTGTTTCGCTTATGATTCCACGTCCTAAATTACGTCAACGCCGTTTCTGAGCGCCATCTCGTCATCAACTGCCGCTATCGACTCCTGTATTTTTTAAAAAGTCTTTTTTTACATCATATAACAAAGTACAATTCAATTTATTTAGGGATAAAAGCCACTATAACTAAACCAGGGAATCAACTCAAAATGCTACCAGCAACACCAAGAAAATCCCAACTATATAGAATCAATCACCAAGAAAGCACATGAACTCAAGAAAAATCACTAGTAAGGCTCAAACATAAGCTAAGACCAAAAAAAACTAAAGCAACCTAATCTGCATGTATGTACACAACCTTGGCCACATTTACAAGTTTTCCCACTTTGTTCTGATCAATATTCCCAAATCCAATTTTACTTAGACCTTGGTAAATTATGCCTATTTACTGGAATCTATTCCCTGAATTGCCATTACCTTGTGTATAAAACATTGTAGGAAAACGTTCGAAATTCCTTCTCCAATACAAGTGGAGAAGATGCTTTCTCCTCACCTGTGAATATAGTTTTCACGATTGGTAGGTAGATCATAGTTTATAACCAAGGACACTTGTTGCACATCAATCCCACGAGCCTGAAATAGAAACAAGGCTTTTCAATATCCTAAAAATTCAACAAACTAGACATTCCTATGATTATTGTAGGCCACAAGATAGTAATGAACCATACTAAATGGTATAGTCCACTGTGGAGTGTGGTCTAACTTATTCTGCCAAATAGCTTAAGTTGGTTAAGGTTATTTAAAATACCTTCCCCACAAATCTAGCTTTTTGGTACTTTTTAAAAAAGGGGGCACACTTACCAACAAGTCAGTAGTGATCAGAACACGACTTGACCCTGATCGGAACTCCCTCATGATGACATCTCTTTCCTTCTGGTCCATGTCACCATGCTGCAAATGTTAACAACCTTTTAATCAAGTATCTCTAGTAAGGTACACATTTAATTTCATGTATGAGACCAAGCGTCCCTGGCTGCTACTGAGTGTATAGCAGACAGGTATAGTTAAGAAACAATATTGTTTTGAGCAGGGGGAACGACAACATAGCACTCAACAGCCATATTGTAGTTAAATCCTGCTTAATGAATGTAATTTGATTAGCATTACTAAATCCAACTCTTACCAGAGCAGAAACGGTGAAGTCCCTGGCATGCATTTTCTCTGTGAGCCAGTCCACCTTGCGCCTTGTATTGAGAAAAATAACCGCTTGTGTGATGGTCAATGTCTCATACAAGTCACAAAGAGTGTCCAACTTCCACTCCTAATGTAGGTTAAACAAAGTTATGTCAATTAAATTTTCCATTTTAAGAAGACTGTTGTTCAGTGGTACTCAACTTTCTTAAGGCTGTGATTCTGTAAGACAGCTCATGTTGAGAGCTTACCCAACCATATTGTTGCTACTTTATTTTGCTGTTTTTCTTTTAAGAAAATAAATGCAGCTTAAAACAGATACAATGCTCCTTGAAATTTATTTCTAAAACAAAAAGCCAAAATTGAAGTGTTGTCAAAAATGGAAGCGCAAATCAAGTAAAAAATAAAAAACCCAGCTACTTTATAGAAGCTGTTCTTCAATTTAACAATCATTAAATAAAATACCAATTTACATTAGTTTTCTCTTCCTGTCCAAAAATTCCACCCAAAAAATAACGAAAAAGTGCATCCAGAATCCAGCAATTCCCTATTTGCTGCTCTTATGAATCATAAGATATATGTATGGCACGTAGCATTCTGATGTAATCTTATGCAAACAACATGTTGAAAACTGCTGTTTCTATAGACTTATTGCACCAAATCTTAAGACAAAGGACACTGGACATTAAGAAAGAGGTCCACCCCTGTCTGTGGGATCCAGTGCAGTCAGTTACTTTTCTTCTTGTGTGTACTCTGCTAGCATCATTACAAAAACTAAGATACAATCCTAGTTTCTGCAATTTTAGCACAGTGCTTATACAAGAAGGTGAGGAAAAACTTTTATACTCAAAATGAGACAAATTACCTCTCTTTCAACATTAATATAAAACTGTTTGATTCCTTCAAGGGTCAATTCTTCCTTCTTCACCAGAATTCGAATTGGATCTCTCATGAATTTTTTGGTCACTTCTAACACATCAGTTGGCATTGTGGCAGAAAGCAACACAACCTGTAAGAGAGAAAGCGGTTGTTTTACCTGTGTATTTGTTGAACTTTCAGTTAATAATACAGGAAAGAAATGTTTGAAACCAAGCATCTCTGCCTGACTATGGTAGAGCTAAGCAGAGATAGTAAAGTATCAAATACTTTCAGCAGGGGGAACGACAATAAAACACTTCAGTTATATTGTAACTTTTCCTGCATGAAACCAAACCCAAACCAGTAGGAGTACAAAATAAACCTTACCTGAATGCTTGTATTTAATTTCTGGAAAATCTCATAGATTTGATCCTTAAACCCTCGACTCAACATTTCATCTGCTTCATCCAAAACAAACATTTTGATCCATTTTGGAGCTGTTAATCAAAAAAGTCATACTGTATTTCAAGATTCCTTTAGCCATTTTTAGTAATAAAAAAAAACCTATAGAATACTTACAAAGGTATCTTCTGTTGAGCATATCAAACACTCTCCCTGGTGTACCAACAACAATATGAGGGGCTTCAGCCTGCAACTTCTGCATTTCATTTCGGACATTCGTTCCTCCAATGCAGGCATGACAAGTTGCTCCCATATAATCCCCAAGAGCCAAAATTACCTTTTGGATCTAAAAGCCAAAAAGCTTAATTATCATTCTATGAAAACGTTAAGTTTTAAGACTTAAGCTCCAAGGCATAATCGCACTATTTTTTTCTGCCAATAGCCTTTATGCATGCATAGCACAAAACTTATAATTCCAAGCTTACAATTCTCTTTACTTATTGTTCCCTCCTCTTGTTAAAACTGGGGATCCTGTCACCTCAAACACCAACTGGGGACTAAGGAAAAAAATTTGCACTTTCTCCACTGTGTAGGGTCAGAGTGAAATATATTCTGTAAGGGCAAATGTTGGTCATTTTTCTCCCAGTGTACTGTGCCTTACAACCTTGGCCTGGATAAAACTTCCAGCTTTATTAGCATTACTTCAAAGCCAATATAGCAGTGCTTTGAAACAGGGCATGCAACAGATGCATCACAAACTACTGAGACAGTCAAATGTTTAACATGTCACTGCAGTTTTCATGTTGCACAACTGGATTCCAAGTTTTCAAATGGGTACAGATACAATCTCCACCCTTTGAGTAAACCTATAGGTTCAACTGTTGAGGTACAATCCTACAAACCTACAATACCCAGTTCCTTCTTAGCTTTCAACAAAAACTTCCTGCATGCATGTATAATTAAAATGGGGGCTGCCATTACTAGGACGATCCATACGTTTTAATTTTAAATTCTTCACAGTTGTGAAACCTGAAACCTATGCAACACGCAAGCAGTTTTTTGAACTACACTATCAATACCTGTTGAGCCAGTTCTCTGGTGGGGGCCAATACTAGTGCTTGGGTCTCCTTGAACTCAATCTCCAACTGTTGCAGGATGGAAATAGCAAATGTGGCTGTCTTGCCAGTACCTGACTGAGCTTGAGCAATCACATCATAGCCTAAAAAAAGTAGGATACACATTTACCGATCCCACATCAAATCGTCATGTCTACTAAACACCATGTATTCCAGTTGGAACATAAATTATGCCCAAGAAAGTGATCAGCAAGAGAATCTCTTCATTTCAGGTCAGTCCCGAAAGATGATTGCCATCATTTCACTTTAAGGAATACAGACAGGTGCTAGTTATTTCCCCCAAAAGTTACTTTCCCACTTATGGTCCATATATATGCAGCAACTTTTAGTGTGTCAGTGAGTTTTACCTTTAATACAAGGAATTATAGCTCTCTGCTGAATAGCTGAAGGCTTCTCAAAACCATAAGCATAGATGCCTCGTAGAAGCGACTCCTTTAAGTTCATATCATCAAAGTTATCAACGATTTCATTCCAGTTGCTCTGTAAGTTAATGATTAAACTATGAGTAAGATGTAAAAAGTTTACCATCTCAAACCTTTAGCATCCAACACCCATTTCTTACCTCGATGACACCATCGGGGTCCATTCCCTCTGGGCCGCCATGTTCTCTGCTGACAAGAACACTGCAGTTAGACAACTCACCCCTTCCAAGCCACGAACGGACATCTAGACGGAAGGCCCTTTCCATTTCCACCCTGTGCCTCAGTACCCTCCACGCATGCGTACTCTGAAAATGCCCAAGCAAGGTGACACTGCGGCTAAGCACCATTCTCTTTCCCCACTGGCTGGGAATGTTAGTAAAATGTGTAAAAAGCCCCTTCACTACTGCCCTAGGACCAGGCCCTCCCGTTTGGGAAAAGCAGCTCTCGCGAGTGCTGCGCGCGCCGAGCTCCGCCCCTAACTCTGCGCAAGCCGGCGTGATTGACGCCGTGAAGGCCCAGCCAGGACCATGCCAACGGCTCGTCGGCACCCCGTTTACGGCCCGGTGTCATCGTCCTCTAGCCGTCCCATCTCCCACCTTGACAGAACCCTTGGAACCCCCGGCTCGCGCCACCGGCCGCAAATAAAGCCGGGACACGGTCACCCTGTCCTCAGCTGACTGCGCCACGGCTCCGCTTGCCATGTCCCGCATAGGGAGGGGCAGCGCCGGCCAACATGTCACAATGTCTCCTAAGAAAAGGCATCCGTAACACACCGTTCTCCCACCCGTCCTGTCTCCCCACCATCTGAAACCCTACCATGATGGAAGCTTCTCGAAGGACACAGGGGACTGTGTGTGTCCCTCAGAAAAAGCCCGCATGGCTGCAGTGTGGCCACCAGACACCCACGTCAACTGCGGGTGCTAGTGACCTTCACTACCGGCCACCGGCCGCCCCGGGAGCACCGTACCTGTTGTAATCCGCGGAGCCACCAGACATGATCCGAAAACCCACTCAGCGCCCGACTAAAAAGACAGCCGCGCGGTGCCGCCCGTTTTTTATAGGCTCGCGGCCGGAACCCGTTTTCTCGCGGAGGAATTTTCTTAGCTGTCTTCAGAAGCTGCAAAAATTGTCCTCGGCTTTCTTCCCGCAGTTGAAATCCTAAGGGAGTCGATGACAAAATCCACATTTCATTATTACTTGGTATTACAGCGTTCCCGGAGATCCATGAATCAGGAGCGGGGCTGGGACTCTTTGCGATCGGCGGAAGAATATTGCAGCAGTGCCACCGCGCGCCGCGCTCCTCGGCCGCCCTGCTCCTACGGGGTTTCCGCGGCCCTGCCGCAGAGACCGGCGGAGCTGGGGACGCCCCGGGCGGAAGCCGGTGGCGCTGTTCGCTGGCGGGCGGCGTCTCCAGGACGCAGCTCCGGGCTGCCTGCGCGTCAGCGTGCCGCTGGGCCGGGACGCCACGTTCCGCGCCGGAGCGGATGCCGGTTACTCCGCCCGTGCTCACTGCCGTTTAATGGGTCGGTAAAGGGCTACCTGGCATTCCGCCCAGCCTTTTCCTAGCCACCCAGATCTGCCCCGGAAAATGTCGGCCGCCCAGCACGTCCTAGGAAATCCAGTTCGCAGTTAGACCTGTAATGTCATTTAACTGATGTCCGTTGGGTGGCGGTTCTATTTTCAGGTCCTTCTGGTTGCCTTTAGCTTCAGTTAAAAAAAATAATAATAATGCTAATAATTTAAACCTAACAGATGTGAGAAACGTTTGATGAAATCATCACCAACTTTTGCAAAGGACCTGTCATTCTTTGTACTGAAACGTAGGGTGCTTCCGGCAGGTTCAGCCCTAGCACTTAAAAAGTTAATTCCCTTCCTACTGGTAAAACAAAACAAAAACCGATTTTAATCGCCTAACGTCGCTTTACGGAAATGGAGAGCAATGCAGTTCTTTTTGCCCGTAATAAACTTGCGTGGCTCCTTAAGCCAAGAGGTTTCCAGCTCCCACCCCTTGCTAAAAAAAAATATATATATATAGGAAGATATTTAATCATTGAGTTTTAAAACACAGCTCTGTTCTCTATTCAAGACGGTATTGTGAAAGCTCAAATTTTTTTATCATTAATTCAGAAGACCAACACCAAATGCTGATTTACCAGAGGTACAGGGGTGGGGAGAAGCTCAGTTTTCTACTTTACAGATATTTGGTTCTAAAAACCATTCTTTTTAATGATTACATTGCATTTGTTTATTTACTTATTGCATGCACCTCAGCGCCTGTGAAAGTCAGAGGACATCCCTTGTGAGTTGGTTCTTCTACCACGTGGATCCCACAAGTGGGTGATGGAATCCAGGTCATCAGGCCCTAAGGCCAGTACCTTTACCCACAGATCCACCTTGCCAGCCCTAGATACTCTCCTTATTCAAAAACAAATTGCTTACTTATGTGGAAGTATTGAGTCAGAAGCTGTAACACAATCAAGATGACAAAATAGAGGCCGGGTGTGGTGGCTCAGGCCTTTAACCCAGGACTAGGGACGCAGAGGCTTGTGGATCCCTCCAAGTGTTACTTGGAGGTTCCCGGCCAGCAAGGGCTGCACATAAAGGGACCTAGCCTCAAGGGAAGAGGTATGTGGGAGAGACGAAATGGACTGGCCTTCTTGTAGATGATCTCAGTCAAAGAAAGTTCGGGCTGGGGGAGGAAATTGCCTGATCTCAGAAACTCAAAGCACTAAATCAGAAATGTGATTGCTTACTGTCTAGGCTCACTTTCACTGAGGATGGGATAGGTCGACACACCTTCCTGTTGAATGTTTTCCTTGGGGTTAGCCTTTAGAACACAACTGTGGAAGGAATTTCGTATTTAAAAAGCATAATCAGGTGTGGTCCATGCCTTTAATTCCAGCACTTGGGAGGCAGAGGCAGGTGGATCGCAATGAATTTGAGGCCAGCCTGGTCTGTGTAATGAGTTCCAGGACAGCCAAAACTAAAGAGTGAGACACAATCTCAAAAA